TATATTGTCATTACGTTATATTATATGTACACGTGCGTGTGTGTGTGTACGACTGCGAATTCGCGTATAATGTCCACGTGTGTACACTGCGCCAATGTACACAATGCGCGCCTAGACAATACAACCACTATAAATTCGACATTATTTTATATTATTATATATAAATATATATTATATACAGGCGCATTGTGCTGTATACAGTTGGTTTTGTATAAAATAATAGATTTGTTTACATTTTGCAGTTCGTCGTATAGTCGCGTACGATCCAAACAGACCCGACGCGAATGTCCGAAAACACATTAGGGTGTTATAATAAAATGGATAGTATTCTGCACTTTTCAACCATTTGTCCAAACTAGATAATATGCGAATAGTCCCAGCTACATAATGATACCTATACAACTATAGCCACTAGGTATGTGAATTAAATAATGCACTATATGTATGTATATTATTGTACGACCTTAAAATCCTTAAAAATGCAAATACGAATTTGTTTAGAAATTACACCAGAATTAGTTGTTACATAATTCTAACTTTTTGTTGAGAAAGTTATAACTTATAAGTTTCAGATTAATTTAAAAAAATGCACTTCAAGTCTTTACTGAAAATTCACATCATTATAGATATCATAAGTATTACCTAATAAGTTTGACATAAATTATTCATTAAAATTTGTATAAAGAAATTTGAATTAATGAAAAATCACAATAAAAATTTTCACAAAGTGACTTAAAATTCTAAAATTTGCGATAAAATTGAACTTTTTTGTTACATATCTATACCTAATWCAAACTTTCTGATTGTAAAGATGGATGTTTTATATTCTTAAAATGCACTTTGCTATATAATATACCGGGAAACATGGTTTTAGTAGCTATATAAACTACTACTTTTAATGTTATTTAATATTTATGCATATTTTATAATCATTATACAAATAAAACAATTTTCATAACGAAAYAATACCCTCTGATGATTGCTCATCTGGCATTTGACAACATAGCCGCTTATAGACACCATAGGAGAAAATTTGGTTGATATTTCATCGGGTAATTTCCCTCTGCTTAAAAAGAATGTGTTTTTTTCCTCAATCTTATATAATATTATGTTTAATGATTTTTTTATTCTGCCACGTACATTTTCTAAAGATTTATAATTTTCAGTATATTTTGATGTATTTATAGGT